TACCTTGTTTTCTGTTTAATTGCAAGTAAAGCAAAAGCTGTTTAGGCAGTCTCTGGACCTCTTAATTCAAAAAAAGAGTTGCCAGGGCAGGCCTCCTAGGTGTTGGGGCAGTTCTCAGTAGCTTAATATGCCCCATTCAGCCTCTCCTCCTTACCCCTCGTCCATTCAAATGGCCAGCCTAGACCCAGTCCCCATTTTCGAATTGAGTGTGCCAAACTTCACTTTTTCTCCAAATGTTTCCATGCCTGAACTTTGAAAGTAGAAGGAGCAGATTTTTTTCTAATGCAGTGTAAATATAGCATGTGTGCGCACACGCACGCACGCGCGCGCACACACACACACACACTCACTCCCAAAGCATACTCAAACAAGTCCCCCATTTGTATTTATGAGAATGGGGGATCTCTTGGGTTAGCCATGCTTTGGTGTCTCCAAGCAGACCCAGTTCCCTGCATTCAGAATATCTGGTGGACTGGGAGAGTCTATAGTGTTTTTACTCCAGGTTCCACAGAGAGAGATCAAAGGAACTTGTATACAAAATGCCAGGCGTGTTGTGGTTTTGTTTTTAATTTAAAATTTTAAATAAATCTAATCATAATCTAGTTGGGCCAACTGGGCAGTCACCCTAGAACAGCAAAGCCTTAGTCAAATAATGTGATTATGAGGTGAGCTGAGCAATTACTGAAACTCGGCTTTCTCTGTAAGAGGGATTCCAGCCCTCACCCAGTGGCACAAAGGGGGCTGGCTTGGCAATGGCTTGCTCACTGCTCTCCTGCTTTGGAAAATTGAGATTTGAGGGGGTGGGGTAGGGGAGAGAGGCAGCTGCAGTAGGTGGTCAAGCACCCAGGCCAATTGCTGGTCCCTGTGCAGCTTTTGTAGTCAGCAGCACCCACCAGCAGCCAGGAATACAGTGTGTGTATTTGTGTGCAAGGGTAGGTGAATTGCAAACATCCGCTCAGAGTTGGGGAATCTGGGGAGACAGAGATTTAACAGAGCACAGACTGAGGAGGACCTCTAGAAAACGTGGCCTGTCCCAAAATAAAAATGCCAAATCTCATCCCTCTCACTTCAGATACCTCTCCCTAAGAAATAAATACATTTCTCAGAACAGGGTGGGAAGCAAAGGTAGCTTGCACAAGGTGAGGCCTGCACAGGAACCTCATCAGGACCCGCATCCAGTCCCACCTACCCTCTCCTACAAGTTCCTAGTCTTTTCCTGGCTGGAATAGGGGTGCTTGACTCCCTTGGAGGAACCCCCAAGTGCCCAACCTGCACTGCAACCCTTAACCCTTGGGACCTAGGCCAGTGACTGCCTTCCACTTGAGGAGGGGAGGGGCAAGGTGCCTGTAGTAAGTTCCATTCCTATAATTAGTGCTCATGGAAAGCATGTGTTTTGGATTGGGGTGGTAACGGAAGCAGCATAGTGACAACTTTCCCCCTTTATTCCTTTTAATTTTTTGTTCTCTGACCTGATTTTAAATCCACTTAATTACAACTCTGAAATCGAAAGAAAATCCATTCTTACCTCCAAACCCCCTCAGAAAGCCTGATTCCCCATGTGGGGGGAGGGGACAGAGCAGCGCTGAGACCTGCGGGCCTAATGGGGGGCTTTGCTGATTTCTTTAGGCTTGTTTTATAGAAACAAAGAAAAAATTCTCCCCCCACCATCCTTTCCCAGGACTTGTGCATATTTACCGAGCTCAACTGCAGTTTTAATAAAACATCTGTTCTTGCTTCTGCTGATGAGTTTCCATAATTGTTTTCAGACAAATTTAACAGGAAAATATAAATATGTTTAGAAAATCTAAGTTCCAGCTTTCCCCCTATAGACAAACATTCTTTCACCAACAAAAGAAAATTAACATGAAATGGGGAAAAGAAAATATAATCCAAAAGAGGTAAGTTCGAGCTCATCTGACCAGTTGTCCCCCCTTGGAGCGAATCCTTCCAGCAAATTTCTGCTGCATAATTGCAGATATAACTGAATGGGAGCAGCTTCTTTCCCTGGGAATGGAAGATGATGGGGAGAGTGGATTGGAAATTAATTTTGAGGAATATCGTCTTTAAGCAGTGGGGGGGTTTACTTGCATTTCTGTTTCCCCTTCTTTTCCTTTCCAGCAAGCAGTTCTGCCTTTCTCCCCCAGCAGCTGGTTTCTGTTCATTATAAATCGGCGAGACCTTTCAGTCTCTGCCCTCTGTTTAGGGACGTAATAAAACACTTAACTTTCCGGAGCTGAGACTTACATTCTGCTCCTCAGGTCGCCCACCCTCACGCCCACAGTTTTTAGGCCCCAAAAGAGACTCTTACCAACTTTGGGGCCCCTAGCCTTTTAAAGCTTGGTTGAGGAAACCCAGGTATCCTAGATGGGGTCAGCCCCACAGGCCTCCCCAGAAGACCAGTCTTCTTTCCCACTCATAAAAGAGATTTAAAAATATATAGAAAATCAACACTCATTGAAAGTGAAACCTCATTAAGACATCCTATCTTCCATCATTCAATTTGTTGTATACTGCAACAGTTTAATATCTTGAAGGAAATATCACTGACATGATTGATCCCTCTAGCAATCCCTCTCTAAAATTGGGGGGAGGGGAGCAGTTACTCTCTCTTCTGGCCACTTCTACTTGTTATACTACTAAACTCCAGCAGAAAGATTGGAAACTCTGAAAGCGGCAAAGGCAACTTGTGTCCTGGGGTGCACTGACTTGTCCCCCAGATCAGCCTCCAGGGTCCTCCCCTCCTACTTGTCTCTTCCCCTACCTTGTGCCCTCCAGGGGGCCTGGAGCCCCAGCCAGCTGTTGGAAACCTCTGCCCAGACACGCCATGGATTTGAGGACAGCTGGATTCTAGAGTGTAAAACAACTGGAGTTGGTGTCTGAGTGTATGGACCGCCATGTCACCCCAAAATGAAATAACTCATTTCATAATTCTTTTCTTAATTTAAGATCTCTCCTCTACCCTTTCACATTCATCTCCTTGGGCAAAAAAGAGCCTGTGGTTCAAGGGGGAAACCTTTTATTATTACAAGGGTCTTTCTCCTAGCCTTCTAAATACTAACAAATTTCCCTCCTTCCTGAAGGACTGGAACTATATTTTTAAAAACCAGCACAAATTGTCTGGCAGAAAGACTCAACTCCATAACGAGGTTCATGTATTAACTAACATGTTGTCTCGTTCAGCTCCTATACACTGTCTGCTTTGGGGTTCGGAACTTTATTTTTCCCCCCTAGCGACACTCCAGGGAAACCTTAACGTTACAGAAGATGAATAAACGAGTTTTTTTCCCAGCGTAGTCCCGTTTATGGCTTTATTGCTACCCATTGATTACTCTGCTTTGTTACACAGAAGGAAAAGATCATAAAATCCGGCGACATCCGGGTTCTTGTTATAGCCAGTCTTTTCCCCCCTACACACACACACACACCCAAAAAATGGTGAAAGGATAATATGAGCTTTCACTGCTCCCTGCGCACGCCGCCTCACCATTCCCTTCTTTGTCAACACTTCCAGCCTATGTCCTTATATCAAATTAAGTTTGGGTTAATCAGGAGAAAAACCTCATCTGCACACCTTCCGCCCTTCCGCCGTTTCAGTTCTCCACTGCGGCTCGGTCAGAAGCCTTGGACTCAGCTGCGTTTTGCTAGCCTTGCCTTTTCCTCAGGTGGAAAGAAAATGGGGGTAGGGGTTGCTAAGAGGCCTGATCACCTCCGAGGGTGGTTGGCAAATGAAGGAGAGCGCTCCAGGACCCATTTGCTGCTGTTTCCAAGCCCCAGAGCTCAGGTCCAGGGTGCCTCTCCTGACAGGGCAGTGAGTTAGGAGGGGCCAGGGGGCTTCCAACATGAGCAGGGGCTTGAGCCTGCAAGACCCTGACTGTCCATCAGAGCCCCACCAGCCTTCTCTTTCTGACTGGATTCTACCACCAGCCCTCTCTGGCTCCAAATCATAAATTCTCACCAACATAAACAGGAGTTGATGTCTAGAAGCCTCTCAGAGTTTTCTTTTCTTCCTTCCTTTCTCTCTCCCACCTTTTACTTCTTTGTCTCCCTTTTCCATTGTATTTTATACATTTTATCTTTTAGGCAAAATTATCGCAAGGCTTTATCTCAAAAGGAATACAGAGGAGGAGGCAAAGGGTAGCTAGGAGGCCGAGGCAAGCAGATAATCTGGCCCCTTTGCCCACAGCTCTGCCACTGTACCTTTAAAGTCTCACCTTCACTTCTTTACACCTAATTGTACCTCATTTCCCCTATACTATACCCAAGGCTCGCAGCCACACTCTGGATACCATGTTAATTTTTTTTCTTTCTTTTTTAATTATTAGAAAAATTACTGATTTAATGATGGGGACTTGTTTTATGAGTGTCAAACCAGGATCGCCTGTAGAATTTCTCAGGAACCCCCTAAACTGGAAAGGAGCTTCTCCCATGGAGAAGTCAGGATGTGATTTTAGAAGGGGGCAGATATAAAAGATGAAATCAGATGGAAAACAGAGATTTCTCTGGCCCTGTACACAACACAACAAAGTTAGCTGTGGCTGAAAGATTTCCTGGGATTGCAGCTTTCCTTATCTGGGCCCCCCTCCCCAGGCCCTGCAATGGGACATTCACCCTTCTTTCATCCTCAAATCAGTTCCCTTACACACACACACACACATATATGTATACATGTATAATATATATATATATGTATGTATATATTAAAGAAATTCAAGTCTTACTTTCAAAGCACATACTTAGTCTCAACTAGGGAATCAACAGAAGCAGAAGCGATTTTTTTCCCCCTTCTTGACATCTGGCTCGCGATTGGCTGGAAGGGGGTCAGCTGACTTTGTCATTTTGTCTGTCCTGGATTGGAGCCGTCCCTATAACCATCTAGTTCCGAGTACAAACTGGAGACAGAAATAAATATTAAAGAAATCATAGCCCGACCAGGTAAAGGCAAAGGGATGAATTCCTACTTCACTAACCCTTCCTTATCCTGCCACCTCGCCGGGGGCCAGGACGTCCTCCCCAACGTCGCCCTCAATTCCACCGCCTATGATCCAGTGAGGCATTTCTCGACCTATGGAGCGGCCGTTGCCCAGAACCGGATCTACTCGACTCCCTTTTATTCGCCACAGGAGAATGTCGTGTTCAGTTCCAGCCGGGGGCCGTATGACTATGGATCTAATTCCTTTTACCAAGAGAAAGACATGCTCTCAAACTGCAGACAAAACAACTTAGGACATAACACACAGACCTCAATCGCTCAGGATTTTAGCTCTGAGCAGGGCAGGACTGCGCCCCAGGACCAGAAAGCCAGTATCCAGATTTACCCCTGGATGCAGCGAATGAATTCGCACAGTGGTGAGTTTTACAGCTCCTAGATATAAATTAAATAAACTGAACTGGCTTTATGACCGGCTTCCCTAGAAGAACGGGCGGAGAGAGTTTTTTATGGCCCCATAAAAACAATCACGCTCGTCTCCTCGCTGACGCCGAGACAGGGCCCCCTCTTCTGCCCCCTCTACTCGCCTCCCGGCTTGCTTGCAGGGGCCTGGCCCCCTCGGCCCCTGATAGATTGGAGGGCTCCAAGGCGAGCTGAGGGGCAGGAACAGGGCAGGGGAGAGTGCAGGGAATGGGGGAGCCCCCCAAAGTGGAGTCAGGCTGAGGAGAAGGGAGGGGGAGAAGAGAGAGAAGTGTAGAGAAGTTTCCAAGGTGCTAAGGGAGGTGGGGAAGCCCAGTCCTTGAGAAATAGGGCCCTCCTCCTCAGTTTGGGGGATTTTTCAAAATTCAGCTTTTAGATTTGCAGCTGTCTGCCTGGTTCTTGCCTTCTCTTCTCCCCACCCCCCTTTTCATAGGACACATGCCTCCTAAACCTAAGGGGGAATGAATGAAGTTTGGGTCCTTACTGTACCCCAGTGGGGGTGGGGCAGGGCAAAGGGGATAAGGCTCGAGCCTCGAGGGGTGCCGTGAGCTGCTGGCCAAGTTGGGAGGGTCAGGACTTTGCTGGGCAAAATCATCTGCAGAAGATGCCTTGCTGATTGTTTTTAGTGTGTTTTGTGCCCGGATCTCTAGGGGTCGGCTACGGGGCGGACCGGAGGCGCGGCCGCCAGATCTACTCTCGGTACCAGACTCTGGAACTAGAGAAAGAATTTCACTTCAACCGCTACCTAACGCGTCGCCGGCGCATCGAGATCGCCAACGCTCTCTGCCTGACTGAGCGACAGATCAAAATCTGGTTCCAGAACCGCCGGATGAAGTGGAAAAAGGAATCTAATCTCACGTCCACGCTCTCAGGGGGCGGCGGAGGAACCGCGGCGGACAGCCTGGGCGGAAAAGAGGAAAAGCGGGAAGAGACAGAAGAAGAGAAGCAAAAAGAGTGACCAGGACTGTCCCTGCCACCCCTCTGTCCTCCTCCCTCGCTCCCTACAACTCCCTCCTTTATCACACACTCTGTATTTATCACTGGCACAATTGATGTGTTTTGACTCCGTAAAATAAAATTAGGGAGTTAAATGTGGACCTGAAAGTCAGCTCTGGACCCCCTCCCTCACTGCACAAACTCCCTTTAACCACGCGCCTCCACCTCGTTCCTTCGCTAGCTCGTTCTCGGCTTGTCTGCAGGCCCCTTCCCCCGCCCAGGCCTTGGGGGCTCATCCCTGAACCCCGCTTCAGACTCCACAAATCTCCCTCCAAAAGAGGACTTGGCCCCTCAGCCTCTCGGCGCCCCCCAGCCCCCGCCCCCCGCACAGAGGGCCAGCTCCCGGACCTCGGGGCCTCTGCTCCGTGGCCTCAGGGCCGGGCCTGGCAGCTTCTGAAGGCGAGAGGCCCAAGGAGGGCGTGCCTGGGCCCCACAGCAACCCCAGGGCCTCCCCGCAGCCCCTGCCCGGCCCCTCTGCCCTAGCAAATGCCCAGCCCAGGCGAATTGTATTTAAAGAATCCTGGGGGTCATTATGGCATCTTACAAACTGTGACCGTTTCTGTGTGAATATTTTTAGCTGTATTTGTGGTCTCTGTATTTATATTTATGTTTAGCACCGTCAGTGTTCCAATCCCATCTTAAAAAGCAAAGAAAAGAGGGAAAATGAAAAAAAGAGAGAGAGAGAGAGAGAAAAAAAATGAATGACGTTTGTTTAGCCAGTAGGAGAAAAAAAATAATAAATTAAAAAAAAAAAACAAAAACCTTGTTTTACCCTCCTGTATAAATCCGACCTCTGGATCCGTTCTCGAATATTTAATAAAACTGATATTATTTTTAAAAGTGGACATCGGGATTTCTGTTCTTTCGCTCGTCCGCCGGCCTCAGGGTGAAAGTTGGAGCAGACTCCTAGCGCTCCGGTGTTTGTCCGCCGCCTGCCTGCAAGCTCCCAGCCCCCTACACTCGCCTGTCCTGGTAGCCCGGTGCCGAGCCCTAGCCTTCCCATTCTCCTCAAGATTGCGTTGGGGAGCTGGGAGACCTTTCAGGGCTCCCAACGTGGAGCCACACACCCACCCCGCAAAAAAAAAAAAAAAAAGCCGCACAGGATTTCCTTTGGGGTGGGGGGAGTAAATCTCGGATAATTGGGTTGGGCTCCAGCTCCACACCGGTCTTTCTTCCTGTCTGTGGTAGCCCGGGAGTTTAGGTTTCTGAACCCGGAGGCCCAAAAGGCCAGGAAAAAAAAGAAGATTCGGGCACCAGGGTCGCCCCCAGCTCACATCCCGGAAGAGGGGAGCCGCACGAGCAGCGCCCCCGGCCGCGCCAGGCGGGCTGTTGCGAAACGTGGCGGAGGCGGAGAGCCGAAGGGAAAGAGAAGACTGCGCGATTCAAGCCCTTCGGCAGGGATTGAGCGATTCAAGGACATTTCGAGAAAGAAAGCCTGAAAATTGAGCTCTCGCCTGGTCTGGGACTCCTGACATGGCCAGGACAAAATTCCTCCTTCCTTTCCGCCCAATCCCAGCCTGTTTCCTCATTTTCTTCTTCCCTCAAACCAGGCGGGAGAGGAACGCAGCCGACCCCTAACCCTTTTCCAGCTTCGGCCTGCTCTCCCCAAGGCCAGTCAAAGAAACCTGAGTGGGCCTAGAAACAGGTAGTGATGCGAGCCTCCTGGAGGGAAAAATTTATCCGCTAGGGTTTTCTGGACCCGCTAGGGTTTTCTGGACCCTCCAGATCCCCTCCAGCGCCCCCTCCAGCGCCTCAGCCAGCAGGGCAGGGCGGTGGGGGGAGTGGAAGGAGGCTTTCTTCTAGCAGGGGCGGAGATTTCCTGGGTAGAGGCCGGAAGGAAAGAATAAGCAGAGGGGCTAGGGAAGGGGCAGAATGGCCTTGGAGACCCTGGCCACTGACTGACAAGGATGTCCAGGGCCTGCCCCTGCTTAGCCCCAGCTGATTCTTCTCCAACGAACTCAGAAATTACTCTCCTGTGGACCTTCTGAGTCCAGATGCCTGGAAAGACAGTCTTGCCCAGAGACCTTTACTCAAAGAGCACAAAACCGGCCTTCCCCACCCACCCACCCCGCCCAGCTCATATACTATTTGTGCAGGTTTGAATCTTGCTTGTCCGTGCCCTCATATACCTATTTTCTATCTGAAATACCTAGTATAGGTATCATATGAGGGTCATACACAGAGATGCAGAGCATTCTTCAGCCCATTGTGCCTGATTCTTTATACACATAGAGACAGAAAATTGCCCTGTTGCCACTCTGGAGTCCTTGGTGTGGTAACTCTACTTCACCTGTTCCTCACTTCACCTACAGGCTCATCCCAGGGCGTCCACAGCACTCTCAGCTTCATGACGCTCACCCTTTCCTACCTACTTCTTCCCATTAAGGACCCTCCTCCAAGGTATCCCATTTTCCTTTCCAGAGTCTGGGTTTACTTTCCCACGAAGACAGGCACCTTCTCGCCTGTAGCCTAGCCTCAGGGCCTCAAAAACAGTGTGGAATCTCTGCCCTTGATGTAGACAGTCTGAGATAAGCTCCCTCAGATCTCCATAAGTAGGGACCACCCAGCCTAAATCCTCTTTCCTCAGCCATTTTTTAAAACCGGAAGGCCCTGGGAGTGCAGGTGTGTATGAAGAGAGGAAGAAGAGCTGAACTATTCATTACAAAAAAAAACCTTTGCGCACCTTAATCAAGGACTCATCTTTCCTTAAAATTAAATGCAATCTAAAAGGCCAGCTCAGGGAGGTTTGTTGCAGCGACTGCCAGCATCTCCACAGGGTAGAAAATTAAGCCTCCAGCGCGACAAACTGCAGTTCCACCGTATAGGCACCAGGTGTCGCTGTGGACTCGTTGTCCCGGCTACCCCCAATTCCAAGAATCATTTTTTTCTCTCTCTCTCCCCCTTCCCTCTTTCTCTCACTCCCTCTCCCCCTTGGTTGGGCTTTGCCAACATATCAAGATGCGTTTCGCCGGCTTCCATCACTAACCTCCCGGAGGTCATCAAGCCAAATTTATGAGTGGCCGCTCGAGTCACGTGACTCTATTTAAGGCTCCCTTATTTGGGAAGAGCGCATAGGATAAAGAAAGAGATATCTCCACCTATAAATTGTGCACTTTGGAGAACAAAAAAACCCTCAACTTCAAAGAGTCACAAATCACCCTTAATCAAAAAGGGTGCAGAAATTTTTTTTGGGCCCTCCCCGCCATGAGCTCCTACGTAGCCAATTCATTCTATAAGCAGAGTCCCAATATCCCTGCCTATAACATGCAAACTTGTGGGAACTATGGATCGGCCTCAGAGGTGCAGGCATCCAGGTACTGCTACGGCGGATTGGACTTAAGCATCACTTTCCCACCGCCTGCGCCTTCCAACTCTCTCCACGGGGTAGACATGGCTGCCAACCCCCGGGCTCACCCCGACCGCCCCGCCTGCAGCGCCGCGGCCGCGCCGGGACACGCTCTGGGCAGAGACGAAGCGGCTCCTCTGAACCCCGGGATGTACAGTCAGAAGGCAGCTCGTCCGGCGCTGGAGGAGCGAGCTAAGAGCAGTGGGGAGATCAAAGAGGAGCAGGCGCAGACAGGGCAGCCCGCCGGACTGAGCCAGCCACCGGCCCCGCCACAGATTTACCCGTGGATGACCAAACTGCACATGAGCCACGGTAAACTTTAGGACTTCATTTTGCGCGCTCGGGTCCGCCTGGGTTTTATAGGCCATGCGGGGCAAATAAAGAAAAAAAACCTGCGGCCATAAATTTTACGATCCAGGCATCAATGGCTCGTAAAACTGTCCACTAAAAGGCTTAGAGGCTGTGTGCGCCCAAATTTACGACGACATAATTGGATCATAGGAACAAAACGTGTATAAAAGGCAATATTCAATTTTTGGGGGAGAGGGAGGGAGTTAAAAAAATAGAGGGATCTGACGGGTGAGGAACGCGGGGCTCCAGAGCGGGGATCCCCCCGCGGCTCCCTCCCTCCTCCCCTGCGGAGCCGCTGGACCTGCGCTCCCGGCTCCGGAGGATTCCTGCGACTCAGGAGGGGTGGGAGGGGGGTCCCCTTGCTCGGATCTCGAGGGTGCTTGTTGTTCGGTCCGAGCCTGGGTCTCCCTTTCCCCCCATCCCTCAGCCTCTCCGGCTGCTGCTGAGTGAGGGCTTCGGCGGAAAGTTTCCTGCCAGGGCGGAGGCGTCTTTCCCGGGGCTGAGCTGGGCAGGGCCCTTCTGCGGCCCGCTGGGCCTGCCTTGCCCGGCTCGCCTCTACTCCCTCTCGCCGCGGGTGGGGGGGCCTAGGACTGGGGTTTGGGTTCTGGGACGCTGCACGCTATTCACCCCTTACTGGCTTGGGGGGCTTATGTTCCAGAAACTGACGGCAAGCGGTCCCGAACCAGTTACACACGCTACCAGACTCTGGAACTCGAGAAAGAATTCCACTTTAACCGCTACCTCACACGCCGCAGGCGCATAGAGATCGCCAACAACTTGTGTCTCAACGAGAGACAGATCAAGATCTGGTTCCAGAACCGCAGGATGAAGTGGAAGAAAGATTCCAAAATGAAATGCAAAGAGGCTCTTTAGAGGCCATGGGAAGGCCCGCAGAACGCACCCGTTCCAGTCCCTGCGCCTTTCCTTTTCTTTTTCCCTCTTTCTATATTTTGGGGCGGGGGCGGGGGCTGGAGCATCCGCTCTCCAGCCTCATAGACAAAGCTCTTTCCCTTGGCATTCCGCATCCCCATAGACCCCGGGTTCCCGCGAGGCTACCCAAACTGCCCCGTCTCGCCCCAGCTCTGCTCAGCACCCGGGTCCTAGGGCGAGCTCTTGCAGGGGCTCCCGAGGGCTGTGGTGTGCAGGCTGATCCGGGACCGAAACCCAGCCTGGGCCGCCTATCTAGCTCCCAACCCCAGCGTTGCCCGCTCAAGTCAAGGTGGGCCCAGCGCCGATTGCTTCTTGCCCCGACCCTCCGACCTCGCCCTCTCCTTTGTTCCTGGCTAGACTGGCCAGGCAGCCACGGGCTGGCGAGAGAGAGCCCGAACCCGGCGCCGGCGCCAGACTTGGGGTGCTTCGTTGTCGCGTCTAAACTCGATCTTAATTTTTAGTGATTTGCATATGAAAGGGGGAGATATTTGAACCTCAGCCTAGGGCCCCCTCGGTTGCCCTATGCTTTCTAAACCTTTCTTCCGGGAGAGCCCAGGAACCTCATCCCGCTGCATGCCCGCTCAGGCCCGCAGCCCCAGTCCACTAGCTCCACTTTTGGGGTCACCTGCCACTGGACCCCCTCCTTCACAAGTGGTCCCAGAGGCTTTTGGCTGCCCCATAGTCCTTGCCGCGACTTTCTGTGCCCACCTGCCCATTGCTGTTGCCCAACTATTTATTGACTCCCGGTCCTTCCTTGAAACTATATTTTGTCATATCAAATAAAGACGAATAGAGAACAGGATGAAGGTTCCTCTCTGTTTGGGGCATGTATTGGGTAAAAGTGTCTAAATCAACTGTGTGAGGTGTAAGAGAGGCCCTACAACCTTTAAACCCCTCTTTTAACAACTGAGATGCTTCAGAGGTAGCAAAAAAAGGGGTGAAGAGGGAGGTGAAAGTGAACTCCTTTCCTGATCCTTGACTTCAGAAGGGCCTCTAAGCAAAGTGGAGGGCACTCAGGCCTCTTGTGCTGGTTTTACCCATATGTGACTGGCCAAAGCATTGAGGCCTCTGCACCCCATTCCCACTTTGGCTGGATGTATCTGAAGCCTCTAAACTGACAACAGCCTCCCCTTGCCAGAGCTAACATGCAAAGGGTTGGTGGCTCCGCCAGGCTCAGCCTTTGGCTCTTCTGGATCTCTAAAGATTTCTGCAG